TCTCCATATTTGGGGAAATCATAGGGATCAGTAGCACACCCAAAGTGCAATGGATGAACCTCCCCCTAAAAAAAAACCATTTTTATGACATGGTATTTCCCTTGCAAGGTATGAGTTGGAATATCCCTTGCATCTCCTACCCCATTCTGTCCCCTAACCCCCCAAGTCATGGTGACTCCCTGGCTGCACCTCCCACTCAGTACAGGGCTGCACAGCCCCAGTCCTGCCAGAGGCCAAGAGAACTCCTCTGTTTTGGGGTGCCCTGCGGGACTCCCATCAGGGGCTAGGCATTCCTCCTACAATTCTCTAGTACACAGAGGACTGTGGGAGGAACGCCTAGCCCCTGATGGGGGTCCCACAGGGCACCCCAAAACACTGAGGAGTTCTCTTGGCCTCTGGAAGGACTTGGGCTGTGCAGCCCTGTACTGAGTGGGAGGTGCAGCCAGGGAGTCACCATGACTTGGGGGGTTAGGGGACAGAATGGGGTAGGAGATGCAAGGGCTATTCCAACTCATACCTTGCAGTGAGAATACCATGTCATAAAATGGTTTTCTTAGGGGGAGGCTCATCCATTGCATTTGTGGTATCTTGCTGATCCCTGTGATTTCCCCAAATGTGAGAAACTCAGCTGTATGATTTTTGTTAATGAGAGGATTACATTTATGATTTCCCTGTTTTTTTATAATCACTTTACTGTTTGGTTTTTGGCTATTTTCACTACTCTATCATTTAAATTTGCAACCATAGCCCCATTAGCAATGCTTCACAAGATGGTTTCCCCCACTAAATCAGAACACATTAATTACATAAGACCTACTTTTTTATCCCCAAAAGTGGGGGAGAAAGTATATCCTGGTGTTTTTTCAGGAGGCAGACCCTGGAAAGCCAGCAGCATACACTTTGCTCCTAGCAGCATATGCTTATTTGGGATAAAAAAGTAGGTCTTATGTAATTAATGTGTTCAAATTGGGGGGGGGGAACTATCTTGCAAAACATGGTTGAAAAAAAACTGTCTTGCAAGCATAAACATCATCCAGCGAAAATTGCCCATAGGAATAATTGTTTTGGGAAACACAACATTGCTCAAAAAGTCACTGTCTAGTGAAGTTATCATTTTGCGAGGCAATCATCTTGCAAGGTGCCACTGTATATGCCATCAACTTTTTATTAAGCCATACTCTCTTTGTGAGTCTAGAGAACACGGTAGCTGCTTTGCCAATGCATTTGTCCAACTCGACATCTAGGAAGAGACTGTCAGAGATCGTTGAGCCAAGGTACACAAAGTCAGGAACAACCTCCAAATTCTTGTGTGGAGATAATAGAGGGAGGTGAGTCCATGCCCTAGCCCATGACTTGGGTTTTCTTCAGGCTGATTGTTAATCCAAAATCTTGGCAGGCCTTGCTAAAATGATTCATGAGTTGTTAGAGGTCTTCAGCAGAGTGGGCAACAACAGCTGCATCATCGGCCAAGAGGAAGTCCCACATGCATTTCAGCTGGACTTTGGTCTTCACTCTCAATCTAGAGTGATTAAAGAGCTTTCCATCTGATCTAGTCTGGAGATAGACACCTGTTGCGGTTCCAAAGGGGTGCTTCAGCATGACAGCAAAAAAGATCCCAAACAGGGTCAGCAAGGGGACACAGCCCTGTTTCACTCCGCTTTGGATGACAAAGGGATCTGATGTTAAGCCATCAAAAACTACAGTGCCCTTGTGAAAAGACCTGATGGTGTTAAGGAGTCAAGGTGGACATCCAGTCTTTGGCAGTATTTTAAAAAGGCCATCCCTAGTAACCAAATCAAAGGCCTTTGTGAGATCTATGAAGGCCACTCTTCTATGAAGGCCACAAAGAGTGGCTGTCGTTCCCTACATTTCTCCTGCAACTGTCTGAGGGAAAACACTATGTCAATGGTGGTTTTATGAGCTTGAAATCCACACTGTGATTCTGGATAGACTCTGTCTGCAAGCTCCTGGAGTCTCTTCAGCACAGCACGGGCAAGCAGCTTCCCTACAAAGCTAAGAAGAGAGATGCCATGGTAGTTATTGCAGTCACCCCTGTCTCCTTTGCTCTTGTACAATGTGCTGATGTTTGCATCCTTTATGTCCTGTGGTACTCCACCTTTCCTCCAGCAAAGACAAAAGATTTCATACAGCTCGGTGGTGATGATCTCTTTACAGCGCTTCAGCAGGGATGTTATCCTTCACAGGTGCCTTGCCAGAGGAGAGGGAGTCCAAGCCCGCTTTTATTTCTGCTAAAGTTGGTTCGCTGTCCAACTCTTCCAAGAGTTGGTTATTAGATTCTCTCTGGAATATAGCTAGCTTTCAAACATATATGGATCCAGGTTTCATCAGTAACCTTCTTACCTGAAAAATCCTGTTAGGATTTCTGTAACTTGGAAGTAACTTGATGGCACATAATAGCAAAATATTATTTAGGGGACTGAATGGCTGGCAGGCCTTTGTCTGAAATGATTGGGAAATACATTATAATCCACAACACCAGGGGTAAAAACTGGGACCTACATTTTTGATCTGAGTGTGCAGCCCCCATTTTGAAATTTGTTTTAAAGGAGCCGGTTGCACACACCTATGGCTATGATTTTTTTAAAACTTTCCTGTCTCTTCTGCACTACCTACAGCTCTCTGACATCCAGCGTGATTAAGACCTAGCAAAAACTAGCTTGTGCTTGTGATTTTTAGTGGTGTAATGAAGATATAAGCCACCCATGCTTTCAGATTAGGAAAGGTAGTTTTGTTTGGAGAGAAGGCAACAAATAAGATAAAAAAGGAAATTTTATGTTAGAATGGATATTTTGACACGCGATTGCTAGTATAGCTATGTATCATATTTTACAGAAGATACCCTTCAGCTGAGGGTACCCTCTATTCAAAGGGCTGTTTACTATAAATCTAGTTTAAATATAAAGATACAGAACTATAAGGAGAAAGACCAGGGACCTCGAAGTTGTCCACTGCCAGTTAGCCAAGGAAAACAGACTGAGCAAGCATATAGATCATTTGGTTACATAATCCTTAATGTCCATTTGGAGAGACATATTATATTTCTGTTAAAATTATAGGAATTATCGGTATTTTAAATTTGTCATATATACACATGAATTAACATATGCAAAAGGGGCTACCAGACTGATTGCCAAAATCTGTCAGCCTGGTAATGATCTAATGTTCCTAATTTAACAAGGCATTATTACATGCCTGTTCTGCCAGCCATCATCACTCTGTTAAGAGATGGGAAACCAGCTTTGTTATTTTGAAGGCTACAGTCCAAAAGTAAAGTTTCTCAGACATTTTGGGGAGGGGTATACATCATACAATTATCAATCAAGAGAAAATGCCGTGAATTCTTCCTAGTATCAGTCTTTCTAGCCCACCTCACTTACTTTTCCAAGTAAGTAGACAGCCCTTTGATGCTTCCAATACATTCCTACTGCCTGGCTGACCAGCTGAGTCTTCCTCCACATGTTGTGGCATTGACAGAGATTAATATGTGATTGTAGCCGGCTAGATAGCTCCATAAGTAGATATCTGGCTGTAGACCCAGAGGTTTGGACTGTAGTTCCCCACTGTGCATGCCAGAAGAGGCAGCTTGTGTGGGCTTGGGTATGCTGCACAATCTCAGGATGCCCCCAGAAGAAGGGAATGGTAAATCATTTCCGAGTACTCACAACCTAGAAAACCTTGAAAAGTGTCAATGTAAGTCAGAATTAGCTTGATGGCACACACACCACATGCTTTGACCATACATATGAACTAGTTGTCCTCTTGAGGCTACTGCAAACATGACATGTTTTTGCTATGTGGACCTGTAAGATATTTGAGGTTCACGTTAGAAAAAATCAATGTGACAAACCCTTTTCTCAGGAAGCAGTGGCTGGTTGTCACTACCTGTTGAATAGTTATTTGGTAGCAAGCCTAAATTAATTCTTTGTGCAAAGAGGATCAGAGCTTATATGCCTCCAAATATAGTTTTTGGGAGGAGTTTGGTCTACATGCTTCATATTCAGGGCCAATGGAGAACAATATCTTGGAGGTAGGCAGGATGCAGATGGGGAAACTTGAAACATGCCAACTGACCAGTACTCAGGTGTGCAGGAGGATGTTCACTGTGCCCCTTCCAAGTGATACATTACTCAGACTGGGAAATCAGAAGTCACAAGAGCTTTCATACTTGCTAGGGGGTGAACTGGTCCTCCCAGTATCTTGTGATTCCTGTAGTGGCTACATGAAGAAGAAGACAGGGGTCCTGTATCTTTAATTGTTGTCCGGAAGAGGAAGTTTCAGCAGACTGTGTGCTAAAATTCCTTCTTATATGCAACTATTACAAATTCATTAGCCCTGTCCTCCTTTTCATGCAGATGCCCTACTTTCCAGGCCAGGAAGATGCTGAGCTCTTCAGTGATTCTTCTGGCAGAAAGTGTCTGACGTTTTCCGTGCCCAGCCTTTAACCTTGGGTTGGCAACATGGTTCCTATGTGCACCGTATGTACCTTTAATTCTGAAAGACAAACAGCAGTACTTTGAGTCAAGCTTCAGTCCAAGGCACAAACCTAATCCTTTAAGAAGTTTGGATCCACCTACTGATTTAATGTGCTTACTCTAACTATGACTTACTACTGGATTTCAGCCAATGTGGCCACTTATAAGACACACACACACACACCCGCCATCCTATCTGTAAGATATGGTTGAAAAGGGTACCTTGCTCAATTGCATCAAAAGCAAATTCTTCTGAGAAGCCCAGAGGAATTAATACAGTCACATATCTATCACTGTCAGGATCTTGATCTGATTTATCTGGGGCAAAGGGAGGGGATGAGATCAGAGTGTGTATGTGTGTTTTGTATGGTACAAAATACCCTTGTTTTGTAATCAGCCAGTATGCATCTCTTCAGGAAATATGGTCTTTCATAATTCTCTTTCATTTTTGTTCTCCCCTACATAACAGCCAGCTGTGCTTACTTTAATCTCCTCTTGTTTTTGTAGGTATAATTTCCGTGGTTTCCGTTGGCTTCAGGCAATGATCTTTGCCATTGAGGAGATTAATAACAGTCCAACTCTTCTTCCCAACATAACTCTTGGATACAGCATATTTGACACCTGCAACACAGTCTCCAAAGCCTTGGAGGCCACACTGAGTTTTGTGGCCCAAAATAAGATAGACTCCCTGAATCTGGATGAATTCTGCAATTGTTCAGATCACATACCTTCCACAATCGCAGTAGTGGGAGCAACTGGCTCTGGGATCTCTACTGCAGTGGCCAATCTTCTGGGCCTCTTTTACATACCTCAGGTATTGAATGCATGCTTTCACTTTCCATATTTAGGATGGATAGGTGTTGAATGGGGATCTCTTCTCAGCTGAATTTTAAATATAATTGTTACGTATTTAGGAAAGCATTTATATGCCACCTTACAGCTGTTAGAGCTGGCATGCTCCAGAGACTATGGAACTGATCTTGGTGGGCTGCCTGATTCCCATGCCTGACTGAAGCTATAGATTCCAAGGGAACTTTGTCATTATATAAATATAAATATATTATTTGTTATCTACTTTACCAGCCTCTTAAGGTGGTGTATAAGAAGAGGAATTATGGCACGAAGGATTGGAGAAAGGTTGGGGGGCACAGGATAGCCCTGGATGACCAACATGGCCCACAAATATATATTATTTGTTATCTACTTTACCAACCTCTTAAGGTGGTGTGCAAAACACAACAATTGCAAGTCAAATGAAAGTAAATATAGCTGCATTTTCATCCTCTCTGGAAGACCAACTCTACAAGCATCACCTCTAATTTTTCTGGATTCAGCTTCAATCAGTTAACCTAACCTGAATTCTGTTTCTGGACTCTTCCATACAATTCGGTGGCATCCCCCCCTTTGCCCTCATTACTCCAAATACTTAAAAAAAATATCCAAACAGCCACTCAAACCTTCTTGTGCCATGATTGGTCATTTGGCATCATTAGACTCCCTTGACCTGATCCGGTTCATAGGGATCTTTTTTCTAAATATGAATATTATTCCTGATTTGAATAAACTTCAGTAAAAGAGGTTATCCCCTTAAAAATGCAGAGTAATGGCCAGTCATCCTCCTAAAAGGAGATGATTGTTTATTTGGAGATATAGTAAGAAGAGGAATTATGGCACGAAGGATTGGAGAAAGGTTGGGGGGCACAGGATAGCCCTGAATGACCAACATGGCCCACAAGAACCATTTTCCTTATTCCTGTTGTAGGCAAAAATCAGTTCCCTCATGTTGTCATATGGGAGCTACCAATAGCAAGGTTTGCATCAATTCCAGAAGTTGAAGGCAAATTATAAAGAGGAATCACATAGGGAGGGACCCTCTGCTGTCCAGTAACACAAGGCAACAGATCCGTGGAGTTACTACATGATACTTGCCCACATTCAAGAGCTAGATGATTTGCTAATTATTCCAGTTGTCTTGCACATTGAGAAAGAGTTAAGCAGACTACCCTTACCCACTGTCACTCAGAATATCTTCAAAGTTGCTTTAAAGCAATAAAACATTTCTTTAAACAATGGATTGGCTTGTATTGTTTTGCTTGCACCATGTATCTGAACTTTCAAAGACTAAACAAAAATAATAGACAAATTCCTGAAGGCAGGTACAGGTCAGTGAGAGATTGTTCTCAGTAAACAGATTGTGCTCTTAGTCTAATAATGCAACCTACTTTCACAAAGTGCAGTATTCTCCATCTCTCAGTTGTCATGATGGCTGCGTATTACGTTCTTGCCTCTTAGGTCTCTCCTCCAGAAAACTCCCCTGTTCATTTATTGCAGTTGCTCCTTCAGAGGAAACAGATTTTGGATCCACCTGTAGACTGTGGTTTTAAAAGATCAAAGTGACTTGAAAAGAAGAAAGCTAAAGGGACATGTAAAGTCAGGCATGAAGCACAAATAAAGGGTTTGCTCCTTGCAGGAACCATCAAGAAAAAGATAACAGATTGTTAAAAATCAAGATTCTAAATTAGGATGATAATCTGATAAACCAATTGTTCCTCTTGAAAACATAAGATCCGTGCTTGGTCAGACTAATGTCCTATTTACGCCAGTGTTATACTTCCACAGTGGATAGCCAGAAGCCTGTAGAAAATCACAAGCAAGATGTGAGTGCAGTAACACAGTATTTCAAGAGTGATCCCATCACAGACTAGTATAAAAGCAGTTTTATTTTTGATCCCTTTCCTAATGATGCATTCCTAATGGATATGCTTTCGGCATGCATGCCACACACTGGGTTTACTTTTTTTACTGAGCTGTGCTCCATGACTCCAATATTTTTTTCCTAATTAGTTAGGGCCAACTCAGACCCCACTGGTGAATCCATGAAGTTACAAGTTTTTGCTCCAGTGTGTACAACTTTATCCTTATTTACGTTACCATTTTGTTGCCCAGTCATCCAGTTTGAAGAGTGCCTTTTGGAGATATAGTATTATCAGCCCTTTTGTTTTTACCACCATGAATAATTTCATGTCATTTGAAAATTGGCCCAGTTCACTGCTCATTTCTAGCTTAGGAGGATTCGCCACTCTCTACGAACTGACCTGCCTAGCACCATGGAAAAAAAAAAGGTTGTGTCTTTAAAAACATCCTTTTCCATCCATTTATCCAGAATAGTCAATATAAGCCAAGAGTGGAGAACATATGGTCCTCCAGAGGTTGAACTCCAACTCCCATCAGCGTAGCTAAAGCTGAGGCTGAGAGGAGTTTTAGTCCAGCCTTTGATGAACCACATATTTCCCATGCCTGCATTAAGCTAAACATTTCATAATGTCCTGAATCCTAATATGCATAGATTTTTTTTTAAAAAAAATCATAATTGTTAGTCAGGGCTAGATAATTTTTTTCTGTCACCACTAAGTTTAGACAAAAGTTCCTGCTTTACTTCTTTTGCAACAAAGCCAGGTAGAAAACATTTAACTAGGCTTTTTTGCAGTCTTTAAATCTCATTCCAACTATGTACCTTGCAGACAGTTTGCTGCTTCCGATATATTCAATCTGTTTTTATGGTTGGTCTTAATGTTGTTGGGTTTTTGCAACATGGTTCTGATTTTTTTCATTGCCTTATTGACTCTTAGCTGACTGGATAGTTCAGTGGTTTAGATATCTGGCTGCGGAGCCAGAGGTTGGAGGTTCAATTCCCTACTGTGCCTCCTGAGAGAAGAGTCAACCTGTGCAGTCATGGGCGAGCTGCAGAGTCTTAGAGCTGCACCCAGAAGAAGGACATCAACCTGTGCAGTCATGGGCAAGCTGCACCCAGAAGAAGGACGTAGTAAACCACTTCTGAATGTTGTCTACCTAGAAAGCCCAACGGTTTTGCCAAAGTATCTGTTCTTTTGTTCTTGTTGTTTTTCCTGCTGTTGTCATCATCACTTAGACCGGAGTTCCATTTTCTAAAGAAAACCTCCTTGGCTCTTATAGTTTTCTTGACTACTTATTAACCACATGGTTAGATCTAGACTTGGTGGTCCTGGACTCCATTTATGATTAAACCTAGAGTTAAATCTCCCTCTTGTTTGGTTCTTTGGCCAGCTGCTATATGGTGCAAACACTTAGGTAATTTTTATTGTTTCCAGAACATGAACTTAACCCAGGCTGTCAGTATAAAGGCAATGGAAGTCATGGTTTTTTGTTTTTATTTTTTGCTACACTCCCTCCTCAACTTTTGGATGACTTGCTCTTATTATTCTCTTTCACAAGATCACCCTGATCTGTTTTAGTCAGGGCAGCAGTAGCATTTATTTCTTTTGGCTAATTTTTTCCCAGTGAAAGAGAAAATATATTCGCAAAGGCTTTCACGGCCAGGATCTAATAGTTGTTGTGGGTTTTTCGGGCTCTTTGGCTGTGTTCTGAAGGTTGTTCTTCCTAACATTTCGCCAGTCTCTGTGGCCAGCATCTTCAGAGGACAGCACAGCACCCCAGAGCACAGAGTGCTGTCCTCTGAAAATGCCGGCCACAGAGACTGGCGAAACGTTAGGAAGAACAACCTTCAAACCATGGCCAAAGAGCCCGAAAAACCCACAACAACCAAAGAGAAAATGCTCAGTTACTTTACTGGATGTTGTTATCACCCACATAAATTCTGTGTATGAGTCTGTCTGCTTTCAGGTTGCTCATTTTGTGTCTCATTTGACTTACAAAGCAAGAGTATCCTGAAATTTGGTGCTTTGCATCTCTTATACATGTGGTCCAAGAATTCTAAGATGGTAAAACAATGAAAATCATTCAGAATTAGTCTTGTTTTCGTTTTCTTTATGCTCACTTTGTTTAACAGTGGATTACTGCTTGTTCTTTATTCCCCTTCCAGGTTAGTTATGCTTCATCCAGCCGACTCTTGAGCAACAGGAATGAATACAAATCTTTCCTGCGTACTATACCTAATGATGAACACCAGGCCACTGCCATGGCAGACATTGTTGAGTACTTCCGCTGGAACTGGGTGGGTACCATTGCAGCAGATGACAATTACGGCCGACCAGGAATTGAAAAGTTCAGGGAAGAGATGGAGGAGAGAAACATCTGTATCGAGTTCAGCGTACTCATTGCCCAGTACTTACCTGAGGACCAGATTTTGCAGGTGGTGAGTGAGATCGAAAATTCCACATCAAAAGTGATTGTTGTCTTTTCTAGTGGACCAGACCTGGAACCTCTGATTAAAGAGATTGTCACACACAATATTACTGGCAGGATCTGGCTAGCAAGTGAAGCATGGGCCAGCTCTTCACTCATAGCCATGCCAGAATTCTTTCACGTCATGGGCGGCACCATTGGATTTGCTCTAAAGGCAGGACAGATCCCTGGTTTTCGTGAATTTCTGCAGAAGGTACATCCTAAGAAATCTGTTAACAATGGATTTATCAAAGAGTTTTGGGAAGAGACTTTTAACTGCTACCTGCCAGATGGAAACAAGAACTTTCTAAGTCCTGCTTCTTTGCACAAGGTCCACGAGGAAGGCTCTAGAGTTGGAAATGGAACAGCTGCCTTCCGTCTTCCATGTACGGGAGAAGAAAATATCACAAGTGTGGAGACCCCATACATGGATTATACCCATCTGCGGATATCTTATAATGTGTACTTGGCAGTATACTCAATTGCTCATGCTTTACAGGATATATATACTTGTACTCCTGGGAAAGGGCTATTCTCCAATGGCTCATGTGCAGACATCAAGAAGGTTGAGGCATGGCAGGTAAGTTTTTTTGTTGTAATAGGTAATACTTACATGGAGGTTTTATGGAACAGACTGGAAAGAGAATAGTATCTCTTTACTGCTAAAGGCAAGTATGTTTCAAAATTTCGGGAAAGAGTGCAACTATGACAAGGATGGGATATTGAATACACTGCCTTTGTATTCATAGCCCCATACTGTGTAGACCCAGGCATGCATAGACCTGCCAGTTGTACTGGCAAAGGTCATTTGGGGTGTCTGTGAATCATACAGGAATGAAGAAAGAGGGTTTTGCTTCTTCTTGGGTGATAAGGCGGAAAGGGCACATACCTATCAGTACAGGCCTTTCAAGTCCATTTTTCTCCCCTGTTCTGAACACATTTAATTTATGTTCTGCAAAATAATAATTTATTCATATAATTCTCCACTCTCTCCCTTCATTTCTGCTATTCTGTTCCAAAATATTTTATATATAATTCTGGTCTCTTTCTCTTCCTTTGTTCTTATTTATCCTGCCTTTGAATTATATTCCTTTCTCTTCTGTTCTTTTCCTCTTGTTCTCATCATAGAAAATTTCTAAAAGCACTTCATGGTCAAGACCTGAATACATAAACAAATTATCAAGTCTGCTGTGGCAGATGAGTGCTTTTTAAACACTGAATCATGAACAGTTCAAATTGCCTTGTTCCACTGCTTTACTCCTTCCCAGTAAATATATATAAAACTCTGATGGCTTGAGACAGGGATGGGCAAAGTACAACTGCCAGTGTTTTTCACCATAGACTATGGTGACTTTGAGAGGTTAGGAGATATAGTCCAGCAACATCTATAAGGCTGCACTTTGCCCACCACAGCTTAAAAGCACTATAAACTGAATTTGGTGCTGTTTTGTAGTTGTAAATATCAGATGTGCCCAAGAAGCAATTCTAAAAAAAATCCCCAAGTAAGGAGACAACTAGTTTAATATTCAGTTACATCAGTAGTTTCCAAATTGTGCGCTACAGCACCCTGGGGCGCTGCCAAACCCAGCCAGGGGGTGATGTGGAATCCTTGGAAATACTACTCAGAGCTGGGCTTCCCCCTACCCTTCTCCCCAGATGATACATTTGGAGGAGAGACTTTATTGCTTCTAAAAAGATTGAATGTGCTGTTCTAGTATGCCACCCTCTTCTTTAGTCCAAACTAGATCTGACACTGGAGATCCCTGATGAGCATGCCTCCTAATGGATGTGTTGTTGTTTTAACCCCTTTTCCCTGTGTCTTTTCCCAGATTCAAATCCTCTGCTTCTCAAAGTTGCTCTAAGTTTGAGACAGATACAGATGTCCATTGTATCTTCTATTCCTCATTGAGTTAATAGAAGGTGGGAGAGGCAGTTTAAGCTGGGGAAGGACGAAAAGCCTGAAGTATTTTAAAAGGCAGAAATCCTGTTCAGGAAGACTGTTGAATCAGAGTTGTAGCCTGGTTTGGATGAGGTTTTGTTTCCCTTGGAAAATGACATTTGCATTTGGGAGTGCTCCCGGACTCTCATGTTGTAAGGTAAAGGTAAAGGTTCCCCTTGAGAGTTGTAGCCTGGTTTGGATGAGGTTTTGCTTCCCTTGGAAAATGACATTTGTATTTGGGAGTGCTCCTGGACTTTCATGTTGTAACTGGCTACAAAGAGTGGTTTTATTTATTTATTTTTAAAAACTACATCTGCCTTCTTTGTGCTTCCCCTGGAGCTCAAATAATTATCAGTCAGATCTTACGACTGCTTGGTCTTCTGACCCTGCAGCACAGGCTTCTGCGGTTTAGCCCACAGCGCCACCACGTCCCCTTATATATAAGGGGACGTGCCTTCTTTGTGCTTCCCCTGGAGCTCAGATAATTATCAGTCGGGGATGGCTAGTCCCTAGCTTTGTGTTTGAAACCCACTCACATCACAAAACAAAGGTGAAAGGGAAAGTATAGCTTTATTGTTGCAAGAAATTAATTCAGGATGCAACAGGACAGCATGAGTATAGAAGCCCCTAGAGTTGGCTGCCATGTATGTGTTCAAATGTATTGAATCACAAAATAGAAGCACCCTCATGGTCAGCCTTGCATTGCAGAAGAAAGAGGAGCTATTTCCCTTAAGGATAATATAATTTCCTTGAAGTAACCTAAAGAGGAAGTGATCAATTATTTATCTGTTTGGTTAAAATATTTGTACCCAACCTTTCTTCTTAAAAAGAACTCAAGGCGACTTACATCATTAAAAGACAATGCTAAAGCTAACAACAGTGAGTATAACATACAAAAAAAACCCAAACAAATGCCATACAAAAAACATAAGCAACACCAAAATATATTCACAAGCAGTAAAGTAAAACAATCCACATAAGCAACACCAAAATATATTCACAAGCCGTAAAGCAAAACAATCCATTAAAAAACCCCATTCAGAGAGCCAGTCACTGAAAAAAAACCCCACTCAGAGAGCCAGTCACTGAAGCCCTGCCTGAAGAGAAACGTCTTTGCCTGCTTGTGGAGGGACAGCAAGATGGAGCCAGCCTGACCTCCTGTGGGAGGGAGTTCCAAAGTCTGGGAGCAGCAACAGAGAAGGCCTTCTCCCACATCACTACCAGATGCATCTATGAAGGTGCGGGGACTGAGAGAAAGGCCTCTCCTGATGATCTTAACACTCGAGGAGGCTCATGCCTACTTTTCAGTTAATGCAACATTGTTTTGTCATTCCTGACCTCTCTTTTAGTCCACACCCAAAGACCATGCTTCTGCTAGAGAGGTGTTGTGAGAAATTTTCACTCTCTTTCATTCTGGGGCTTTTGAGGGGCTCCTCTTTCAGTTTCAGGATGTTTTGGGTACACATCTTTTAGGTTGTGAGAAGGTTCGCGTACAGCCGCCACCACCACCCTTTCTCAACCCCCGATAAAGCCAGAGTCACTTTCTTGCTCAAAACAGTCAACATTTAGCCCAGCTGGAGCAACATCTAAATTCTCTACATATAACGGTGCTTCACACTCCAACTGGTTCCAAGAGCTTTTCTCATTTCCGATATTGTCAACAGCCCAAGGATTTTCTCCTTTTATTCTCAGTCCAGGCCTTGGATTCCTTTGGCAGCCAACACCTGCAGCAAAGGCACTGGATCCTGTTTCCACCGCTCTTTGTCCCCTTGTATCTCCCAGTGTTCTCCCAGGCTTTCATATCTGACCTCAGTTTTTGCTCAGGTTGGAGAGGGATTTTCTCCTGGTCAGACAGTGTGTTTCCCTGTTGGTCGCTCCTAATCTAGGCTTAAATTTCCCTCTGTCTATTTGCACTGGTTATTGTCGTAGTAGTTCTCTTTGTCTCTACCTGACAGTTGCTGAAAAACTGCATTCAGGGTACGGACCTGGTATCTGCCACTTTTTACTGCTGCTTGTCTGTCCTTTACAAATGAAAGTGGACTGGAATAGGATATTTTCAGTCAGACAGCTACAAAGTCTTCTGCTGTGGAAATGATAAACTCAGAAGCAGTGGAGTGGTTCATATACTGAGGCAAGACATGGCTCAGGGAGTTTGAGGGCTATAATGACCCGTTAATATCAATCAGGGTCTATGGAAAACCTATCAACGTAACCATGATTCAAGTCTATGCTCAAACTACCAATGCTGAAGAAGATGAAACTCTAAGCTGTCATCCAAGCTTTGAAGAGGAAATTGATCACACCGAAACAAGACATGCTTATAATCAAAAGTAACACACACAATCTTCCCCCCACCCCCCGAGAAAGGAACTAGCCTCCTGGGACTCTGGCCTATCATATGCATAGTTTGGAAGTTCAGTACAACTTATAATCAAATGTGCCAAGTGCAATGTGCCAAGTGCAATGTAATGAAGAGCAGAGATATTGTGGAAAAAAAACCTGCACTGTCCTACCTGCCTTGTAATCCTAAAACCCTTCTGCAATTAAAATTGCTTAATTTATCATTTCCTAGAACTGGAACATCTAAAGGTGGGGAAATGGAGTAAAGACTACAGCCCCTTTTCAACCCTCGAAATGATTTAGATGGGATAAGGGGCACTCTTCTTATGCCTTTTCCCTGCCACAGAAAGCACCACTGATCCTGCCAGCTTCTTCCCCTTTCCTTGTCTTTTTCTTGTTGATGAATGAATGAGGATGACAAGGGTGGTCATGTTTGTTTGTTTGTTTCTTGGTTGGTTGATTGATTGATTGATTGAATTTGTACCCCGCACCATCTGGCAACCAGGTCAGTGTGGGTGGCTAACAATAGTATAAACAACAATATTAAAAATGGTAATTATGATAAATGTGAACTTTAAAGTACCATTAGTGCCTGCATACAGTACATCTATGGATGACTTATTTTTCTTTCTCGTGTATAGTTGTTGCCCACTTTAAAGTACCATTAGTGCCTGCATACATCTATGGATGACTTCTTTTCTTTCTCGTGTATAGTTGTTGCCAACATTTGGAGTATTTGATTGTTGCCTAACCCCTGGGTTTTTTTTCGTTTTGTTTTGTTTTGGACTAATTGTGATTGTTGCCTAACCCCTGGGTTTTTTTTGTTTTGTTTTGTTTTGGACTGTCAGGATTCTGTAGGACTTAATTAGGTCTAACACTAGAAACCAGAATGGAAGAATGAAATAAAAGAACCTGAAAGATTCAGAAGATGTCTAATAAAGTGGACTTATCCACAAATGTCTTTTAAGTGCCATAACATTTTTTTTTGCCTGACCTGAAAGATTCAGGTACTGTGGGGTTTACCTATGTGAGAAAAAGGGTAAGAGGAAGCTGCCTCCCACTCATGCACTGTCCCCTCTAACCTGGAAAAGTATGTTGGGGGGGTGTTACTCAGAAACTCAAGCCCCAGGATTTGGAGGTGTAGTGGGGGAAGAAAACTCAGGAAAAAACCTGACAACACAGGTTCAGAGGAAAAGGCATGAAAGGCAGATTAAGAGAGAGAGGAGGAAGGAGAGAAGGAAAAGGAAGTATATATAAAAGGAACGTAAGAGGAGACTGAGCAGACAGGATGGTCTGACACT